AGGAGGTGGGTTGTTTTCAGCTTGCGTATATATATATACGTTAATTTGTGTGTGAACGATAGAGGTATGTACGTAGACATACAATCATACATCGATGACTATTTGAATCATTGTTTGCTTAAAAATAATGTCATCTTTACTAATTCCACAAATTTTTATTTTTTTCAAGCAAATACTTTTAGCCGGGCTAAAAACGTATAGAAAGTTAGAAACCCGTATATTCTTATTAATGCCTTCTGTTACATTTGCGTGCCTACGCACATACATGAGGTCTAATTATGTTTTTCTTCTTGTAATTATTTATTCGGTTATAAGCATGTAAACCATTTTAGTATATTTAACTCTAATATATATACAGTTTTCCTTCTTCTTTTTGGATAAAGTGTATACACTTTTCCTTTCTACGTTGTGTAAATATTTTCCAAAACTCAATATCTCGATCTAGCTGGTTTTTTCTAATGACATTTTGTTAAATTTTTTATTTTGTACCTAGCCATGAATGTTAGCTATATAGGTGTACGTATGTGTTTTCATATACGTAGTCACGCACGTGTACGTAAATAACCTTGGAAAGAGTGTAAAAGTCACATGAACAGAACAAGATCGTGACTCGTGAGACCAAATTGTTTGTCACTAACTCACTACTATTTCTGACCGACATGAGAGAGAGGCCTCGTGTTTACTGTGTTCTAATACGTGTCTTTCCACACATGTGTTCTTCAGCTCTTTTTACCTTTTAACCCCTTAGCTTAGGTGTTTGCCTTATATGTTCGTTAATTTATTGGTTAAGATCGTATATAGTTTTACGCTTTTAGCGACCGTCCTTAGCTTGGGATTTGTTTTTTGTTTGATATTGAAACCTGTATATATGTGTGTAATTTTAGCGTCTGCATTACGAGTCTATATAGTTTGAGACATTTTTTCCCTTATTAAAGATAGCTTGGAATACGTGGTCCTTCAAAATCATTATCCAAATTTGTTTTGTTCCTAATCACCACATGGGCTTTGATAATGACGAGCCAGCAGCCAAGCCAC